ATTGCATCCAGATGAGGAAAAATGCAACTGTGCCTTACGTATTTTCAATCCTCAGCAATAGGTTGATTGCAAAAGCAAATGATAAATATTTAAGGTTAATTTAATCAAATCTTAAGAAGTATATATATATCCTCAAAGACACTTGTCACTGAAAGAAAGTAGACATTGGAAATTCAAATTCAAACTGCTGGTCATCATAGTTTGGAAGTGGAATTGAACTGAGATCTCTGATGACTGCAGGAAAAAATAAGCAGGGAAAAATGTCTTAAAAAATTAAGAAATGTCTTAAAACCTCCACCATGATTTTTTTTTTTCACTGAAATTGTTACATCTTTTAACTGATAACCTCAACATTTTTTTAAAATCCAAATAAATAAAGTGAAAAGTAAACTTATATGCAATGATATCATCAAAAAATGCAGCTGTTAAAATGTTCACAGAATTATTTCTGAATTTGTCCAAGGATCTTTAGAGATAAAAATATGAAATTCTTATGCTAAATTAGAATGATGTTTGGGTGTGAAATTCTTATTTTGAAACCCAGCACAGTAGACAGTATTCCCCTTTTAAAATAAATTCACTATTCTCTATATGCTACATGCCATGTATTGTCATATTCTGAATTTAAAAACATTATTTACAACTGAAATGATGAACAACAGCAGAATACTAATTTCAGAAAAGGTGTTTCTATAAGCCCAAAAACCCACAAGTCCAGAGCCATATCATGAGAGCTAGAAATGCTTCTCTGGCAAGGATGTCCTGTTCTAAATCCTGAAATTGTGTCACAATCTATTATCTGGTGCTGTGGCTATTTTTAGAGTTGTGGTTGTTCCGTTGCCACTGTCAGGAGTTTCAAAGTTGAATAAGTGTGTTGAAGTCAATGAAATTTCTCCCTACTTCCAATGCCTTTTTTGATCTCTAATCCAAAGTGTTGTCCCAGCTCCTGCTTTGTCTATAGAGAAAAAAAAATAAAAAAATGAGTAGGTCAAGCTGATAAAGAAGAATAAGACCAACTTACCATTTCCCTTGGTCAAATCTTCGAAGACTGGGATTTTGGGTCTCTCTGCAAATGCATCTGCCTGGTTTACGAGAGCTTCCTTCACTGTCTCATAGCCAGAAATCACTACAACTTTCCTGTGCCCCATCTGAACACTGAAGACTGGACCATATTTTTTGGACAGCTTTCAAGAGAAGAGAACAGTGATTTAAAACTTTTACAACCTACAAAGAAATTCATCACCCTTTCCAGTGCTGCTTATTTTCCAGTCCTGCCTCTGGGTTACTAACATGACAGATACTTCCCTGCCTACAGGGAAAGACATTGATTTGAGTGATGGGAATGTGCCAGACATTGTGGTGGATGATGACTAAATGGCACAGTTGGGAGAAGAGTTCTGTAGTGTTAAACACAGCAGAAGTGTCAACAGCTGAAACCCCAAGTGAGCAAAGGATTGCACTGAGAGTTCTGTCTTCCCTCGGAAACCCTTGTAAATTCAATTTTTGACTCATATTTTCACACTTATCTGTACGCTATTTTGTTTCTTTTTGTGCACAGGCTACACCAAACCAACCTGCTCAAATGTTTGGTACCATTATTTTATAAAAAATAAATCAGTTTGTTTCTGGGACAGGATTTAGCATTAGATACATTCAAACTTTTTACACACGATTGCATGCACCATGAATCTGTCTCAGAGACAATGTGGTACCTTTTTAGCTGGTACAGATAGATTTATTTTTATGTAATTCAGTGTTCCTGATTCTTCTGAAACTGGAGGGGGGTTTTGTGACTGCACTCATTTTCTAGTGGGTTTGCAGAGACAAACAGAAGACATCTGTTTAGCATCAAGATGCAAAATGTTCAGCAAGTGGAAAGCAAGTACATTCAGCTGAAATAACATGAGCAGTGCCCCATATCTGAGATATGCTCAATTCACAGAACCAATATCCAGCATCAGCAAGGAATCACTGAATTGCAGCAGACACACGCTGGTTCTGTTGGCCTGAAAACAGATGGAACTTGCTTTTGTCAACACAGTTGGGCTGTGTCCAAGAGCTACAGTGACATTTGAGATATTGCATCTAAGCAGTCTTTTGATTTGTTGGTGCAAATATGTATATGTGGGACCAAATAAAAATCATCAGCAGGGAAGCTGTGTACTTTTAATGTCTAAGCAGAAAATCCTCTAAGAAAAGAGCAGGTTCATAGAATTCTTCTGACTCAAAGTCAGCAAAGCCCTGCAATAGATTAGGTAAAGAATGCACTAGAAGAAAACTGAAAGATTTATTATTTTGGCAAAGGCTGGCCCTGAATATTAAGAGTATATAGTTGTATCTTCAGCTTTTGGGGAAGAAGAGAAGAAAGGGAGATGAGAATGTTGATAAATCACTGGAGCCAAGATGCTGTAGTCACAGCTTCAGGTACAGGGTTGCACCACATATCAAAATCATTCCTTATTCAGTTGCCTTTTTCTCAAAATTACCACAAAAATAAGATGGGCACTTGCTATTAATTTGAAAATTGTTGAAGGCTGAAACCTGGAGGCATGGAGAAAATATTACAGTAAAAAAGACATGCTGCAATCAACATTTTCTGCTCAAATAACCATCTCCAGATCCCTTGCTAAAGGCTCATGCATGGATGCAATATATTGGGTACCATAGGAGAAACTCTCTGACATCTTGGACTATGGGGCTTGGTTGATAGGACCAATAGAAAAGGAGTACCTGTAGATAAGTCCTGTAGGGTCTCTTCAAGTCAAACAAAAGAAGGTTTCCAATTACAGGTAATGGTCTTGGACCTGGAGGAAAATTCCGTCTTTGGTTGTTCCAGAAACCTGCTGTTTTCAAAATGGAGAGAAAAGCCAGGATCAACACTAAAACAATGGAAGTGCTGCTGTTCCAGAAACCTCCTGTTTTCAAAATGGATAGAAAAGCCAGGATGAGCACAAAACCCATGGAAGTACTGCTGTTCCAGCCCATCTCTATTCAGCCAACTTTGCTTGAGAGGCTCTTGTGTTAGTCCATACACCTCTTTCCCAGTGAAGGGTATGTTTTAATTGCAGTTGGTGTCTTGTTCTCTTCCCATGTACCTCCTAATGAATCCTCAGAGGGGTACAGGGACAGATAAATGTTTGCTAAGCAGTGTGACTGGGTGAGAGTGTGGGTCACTGGGCAAGTGTGAAAGTCCAAGAACATGGGTAACTGCAGGTCATCAACCTGACATTTGCTATAACAGCCATAAATTCTGCATGCTGTCCAGGTTACTGATTAATCATGCTTTTGCCTTTAGCACAGATATCCTTGATACCCTTGAGAAATCAAAATTCCACTGCCCAGGGTATAGTGCACAGAGATTTATTTTTTTAAAAAGTGTGATGTACGAATGTGAGACTCACAAGATGAGAGCAAATGAATCTGTTTGTTGCAAAGTTAAGACAGCACTTACACACTTAATGTCAGAATCTCTGTTCAGTTCTTCACACACAACCCAGTTGCAGGCCTCTAATAAATCCATCAGCCTGGCACTCTGTTATTTTTCTCAATGTTTGTAGGCTTCAAGGAAACAGGATGCCTTTCCTATTTTCAGATTGTGTGTTATCTGCTTTCTCCCATGCTTCCCAGGGCTTTTCAGGCCTGCTGTTTCCTCACAAAACTGTTTATGGGTGGCATAACTTTGATTCCATTGAATTCATTAGGAAATTTAAAGCCCAGAATCACAGGATTATTGAGGTTGGAGGGGATACTGGAATTTGTCTAGTCCAATCCCCCTTTCAAGCTGGGCAACCAAGAGCCACTTGTCCAGACAGGTTTTGAATATCTCCAAGGACTTACAAACTTATGTGCTCCTAAGTAGGGAGATTCCACATCAACCTGTGCCAGTGCTTAGTCACTTTCACAACATAAAAGTGTTTCCTAATGCTCAGAAGGAACATCTTGTGTTTCAGTGTGTGCCCAGGGACCTTGGTCCTGGCACTGGGCACACAGTGAGAAGAGTTTGGCTCTGACTTATTTGATCCTTCCCCCAGGTATTTTTACTGATAAGATCCCCCTGAGCCTTCTCTCCTCTAGGCTAAACTCCCACCTCTCTGTGATTCCTCATATAAGAGATGGTCCAATCACTCTGGCATCTTTGTGCTCCTTTGCTGGACTCTCTCCAGTCTGTCCATATCTCTTTGGTACTGGGGATCCCAGAACTGGACGCAGCACTGGGGAAAGATGTCCTTTTTTTGGCTAAGGGGGCTGAGGTACAACCTGACTCAGGTTTCTCAGAGTCCAAGAGAGTTAACAGCAGAGGAGGAGGTGTTGAAAGAGGAAGCCAAGGGGAAGACTGGACAGAAAAGTTGAGTCACAGCCCACAGAACAGTGTTTTCTAGAAGAAATCTAGAACACTAAATTGCATGTGGCCAAAACTGAAGGTTGTGTGAGGTGAAGTGCCTCAAGGCTGAGCCCCTTGTCCTTCTCTCCCAAAAGTGTCACTGTCCCTGCAGAGACATGACCAGAGGCAGAGGAGGGAATGGAAGAATTCCCCAGGGAATGTGGCTGCAGTGACCTAGAGGAGAAGAGCCCTGGCACATGGCTGGGAGATGGGGAGAGAGTCTTGAGCAAGGCTGGCTCACCCTGAGCCTGTTGCTGTCCCCAGGGGCTCTGAAGGAGAGACCAGGACGTTTCACCCACCTGGAAGGTGTCCTGGGAAAAGTCCAGGGCCAGTGTCCAGCTGTGCTCCTGCTACTTCACCTTTCCCAAGTGGGTAAAAAGGCACTGAAAATGTCGAGTTTTCCACATATATCCGGAATTTAACTAAGTTACAAGGACCTGAGAGGAAGTTGAAAGGTGAACATTTTCCAGGAGGTTTGAGAAGAACAGAAAGAGCTCTCCTTTGGCAAGAGGAGACATATTTTGTTAATATATTTTGAGAAAAGGTTGATCCCAGTAAGAGAGAAAGAAGATATCCCCAAGAAGTGTCAAACAAATACAGTTGGTCATCTGATCATTCAGTTAATACGTTTATTCAGCAACAGATTTGAGCACAAATATTAAAAGAAATTTTGTAAGCAAATATTCAGCCAACGGCTTTCAAATAAATTTTCCTTTCAGTAATGAAATGCAAAGATACTGCTCAGACAGAGGTAGGAATAGAGAACTGTAAGACAGCCTTCAAAACTATGGTTACCCACTGGTATTCTGAAAATTCAGAAAAAAACGGTATTCTGAAAAGGGGTGACATTAAACTTGACCTTTAGTTAGTTTAAAGAAGATATCATGAACGTTTTTACTCATAAAAAAAAAAAAAAGAAATAACAAATAAAAAGACCAAACAAAAAACAAAAACCCCACACCCTCTTATTTAAGCTCTTTTAATTTAAAAACAAGTTAAAGTGAGAACAAAGGTAAGACAGAAAGCGTTGAGCAGTTGTTGGGAGGGATAAAACATTGCCAGTCTTTTATGAGAAAGAAAAGAAATGTTGATGATTGTGAGCTTCAAATATAAAATAGTTGTAGTTTAACTTTTGTTTACTTTTCAGTCCCATCTTTTAAGCTCATCCTCCACTCTGTGTCTTGTTTAACTCCTTACTTTCCTTTTCTGCCATTGTAAGGTTTACTCAAAAGGGTTCTTAGTAAAGTATTTTAAGCTTCTGTCTTTTAAGTGTCCAGTCACATATTACATAGAAGTTGGAACTAATTATTAATGAAGCTCTGCTGATTCAAAACAGATTTGATTAATTGGGAAATAACCAACCAAAGAAAATACCCTAAGCCAGAGAACCAAATGCCACTGGCATCTGCAACATAGAGATGGGCAATTAGGGTACTTTGGAGAAACAAATTGTATACTTCAAGGGCACAGTCACATGAAAAAAAAAACAGCATTTAAAGCTCTGATTAGATGAAGAGATTCATCTTCCTACTCAGTTTTTTGAGAGAACCTAAGGGACTGATTTCTCTGAGGGAGGAATATTCTGAAAAAGAAATTCAGGGACAATAACGAGTACTTAAGAGGACGAAGGAATGGATTACTATGGAAAGATTTTAAGGAGAACTAGAGAACAAACCAGTATAGTTCATTTTTTCCTTTATGGATTTAAAAAAAAAACAAACCCTAAATGTTATTATTGAGGGTATTATTCACTAGGGAAAATTTAGGTTGGATATTAGGAAAAAAATATTCACTGGAAGAGTAGTTGAACATTGGAACAGGCAGCCCAGGGAAGCAGGGGATTCACCATCCCTGGAAGTGTTCAAGAAGTGAGTAGACACGGCATTGTCAATGTGGCTTACTGGCCATTATGAAAATCCATCCAAGGCTGGACTTGTTGATCTTGGAAGTATTTTCCGACCTTAAGGATTCTATAATTCAAAGATTTGCTGCCAGTGGATGGTGCTTCCTCGCTCAGGTACTCCTGTGTGGTCAGCACTCAAAACTGGTGAAATTGCCTCACCCACTTTAAGGTGAATGTAAGACCTTCTGAATTCCCAAGTAGGAATTTGAGGGGAAATTCATATATTGAAGGTAAGATTTTTACAGGCTGTCCACAGATGGAATATTTTTCAAGTACTTCAACACTTCATAAATTATGCACAAAATACTTTAAAAATCTTTAAAAATGTGATATTTACATTGTTAAATAATTCCCCAGTTTTTACAAAAATGAATGTGTGACATCTTAGGGAGGATAAAGGACATCTTACAGCCAACAAGGTAGAAGACAATCAGTCATTGCACATCTGCAAAAGAGCTTATCTGGACTAAAGTGAGATACAACAAATGTATTTTTATTCATGGATAGAAATCTGACATATGTAGGAGTATACAGCAGGTATAACATATGGGACAGCCCTGCCTAAAGATTTCAAGGAAAAATACATCAGCAGAAATGAAAATATATGTGCTATTTTATATGATAGGAGTTTTCCCCTTAAGTCTGATAAGTAAGACTTGAGATAAGATCCTAATATAAAAAAAAATATTGAAAGTTCACCCACTTTGGCCTTTTATTCAGAGACATCAGCAGTATCTTTCTGTGAATGACAGATTGAGGCCCTGTGTTCCTTCTGTTTTATTTCCACTTCCCATCCATTGTCTCTCAATGGAATATCCCATGCACGAAGGCACCTCATGGAGTTCCTCCAGCTACCTCAATTTTTTGTCTCTGAACTGAGCAGCCACTGTCATCACTTCTCCAATTAAGTTAATTTTTCTTAATTTAGCTTCAGTTTTCTTCTTTTTGCTTTCACTTTCAGGAGAAAAAGTGACGTCAGAGTCAGTGACTCCCCCCATGGAAGTTCTCTGCCAAGTCTTCTGTAGGTTGAGTGCAGTTTCCAATCAGTTCCAAAGAATTCATATTTTTCTGGAGCTGGCATAAGTTCAGGTTATATTTCTTGACGTTAACACTGCTACAAACCACTTATTACTGTTGAATAAATAGAGTAATTATTATGCAAACTATTATGCAATCACTTGGTTTTCATAGCTCCTACTGAGCTCCTTTATTACATCTTTGAAACTAACTAAATCTATGAAAATAAATAAATCTATGACAATAATGAATTTTTTTACAATTTCACTTTCTTTGCCCTTTCAATAAACATATTAACAATGACTCTTGATATTCATAATGCCTTATCAATCACTGTATTTTGTGCTTTGTCATAAGAATTATTTCAACATTTTGCTTCCTGTCATAGTCAAACTTCAAAGTACAGCACATTTTCTCCTCCATCGGAAAAGAGGACAACACACTTCCTTAAAAAGTTAAGCTGGGATTCTCTGGTGAAAAGTTTGTTTGAATCCATATAAAAAAATATCAATTAATCTTTTTGATTACCCCTATGCAGTTGGAGGATGTAACTCAGAAATCTCACAATTAAATATATCTTGTAATAATCTTGAAACCCAAAGTTTATTACAACAGCTATACTGCTGTCAGTGACAAAAAAAAGATAAAATATAGATAATTTTAAAGAGCAGTTTGTGGTGCCTTTTTCTGATGAACAGATATATTAGAAGGACCTAATTTATTCACCTGAGCTTGGCATAATGACTAAGTAATCTAAAATCAAGCTTGCTTTCTTTTAAAAAAATATAGCTATCTTCAGCATTTTCTTAAAAACCTGGTGTGGTTGGGACAATACTTGGATGTTGTTTCATTGTTTCTTAGCATTAGAAACAAAAAAGAGCATCATTAGGACAAACATAGCAGATTAATTATTTTTCTACATGGCAGCTTCAAATCTGCTGTGCTCATCACGGTGGCTGGAGTGAATTTCGGGTACAGTCTCCTCCTCTGGAACCTGCCATGAAGAACAAAAAAGAGCTCATTTAAGGATATGTAGATTTGATTTTGCCATAAAAGAAGACTAAAATGTACAGAGAATGTATATATTATATGTCTGTTTATTAACACTGGCATAGCCGGACATGAACCCTCAATTCTGGGTACTGAGGGACAAACTCAAGGTTTTCTTCATAGAAGGAGTTTAATTCATAAAAAAAACCAAAACAAAACAAAAAAACAACAAAAAAAAAACTATTAAAATTTTCTTTAACTTCACATTTTATTTGCAAGGAATGTATATTGCATATTACTTCTTGCCTTGCTTTTTGGGTTTGTCCTGGCATAAAGGATAAAGTTCAGATTGCTTAAATTAAGAATACGTCATCAGTCTCTGATAAGGAAGAGGGTACCTAACACATTGAGCATGTAAGAGAGAGATAAAGGCCTCCACTGTGATATCAATTTGTCTCTATTTCTGCTTTTTGTTCAAGGCAAGTCCAATGAAAAAGGCATGATTACCTAAGAAGTCCAAAAATGTTTGTGAAGGTGCCCTTGATAAATTCACAGCCTGAAGTAGAGCAGCATTTTTTAATTTTGAAGAAGCAGCCTTTTTGACTCACGTGTGCAAACCACAAAGCCCAGGAGAGCAGGGCTGTGGTGTCTGTGCATCCTCCAACATAATGAAAATTATAGCAGATTGTGTCTTACCTCCCAATAAGCAGAGTCATCAAAGCAGTTCTGGTCAGACACTTGTCCCAGGAAGGGCAGCTTTAGAATAGCACCTGCAGAAAAACCAGCACTAAAGGTTTAAAAAATGAAGAAAATGACCAAATAAATGTCCCTCAGATGTGCCCTAGGCAGCCAGCTAAGTTTTCTGACTGATTTCCTCATCTACAGAAATGCCCAACCATCCTGGGACATCAGGTTAATGATTCTGAGATGTGATGTAGATTTCTTTATACAAATATAAATAAGAGCTTTTTTTAATTGACCAGATTTCAGACCAAAGTTTTCTATTTCAGCCAGAATTTTTTGTTTTTTTGTTTTTTTGTTTAGAAGTATTCACAAACACATGGCAATGTGTGACACTTCATTGAGTATGTCTTGATCTCAAACTAGTTTCTGTTCAGAATTTGAAGTGTCGGAATGTAGAGAAGAATTTCTTCCAGAACAACACCTTATTATTCCTGTAGAAATAAAACTCAGTATCTTTGGAGCACTTATTCAGTAAGATACATAGAATCACAGAATCATAGAAATGTTTAGGTTGGAAAAACCTCCAAGATCGTCATGTCCAATCCTAGACTAAACACCATCTTGTCAATCAGACCAGATCCCTGGTGTCACATCCAGTCTCTCCTTGGACACCTCCAGCAACGGGAACTCCACCAGTTCCCAGGGAAGCTCCTTCCAATGCCTGACCACCCTTTCAGTGGAAAAATTCTACCTGAGAAACCTGAACTTCATTTGAAGACAAAACCAATGGAAAACTGCTTTTCCATATTTGAGTTTCTGGCATCAGGACCCATTATTTCAATTTTGTATTATTTATGCAAAGCTGTTGATGCATTTAAGTTCTCCATGGAGGAATCTCTAAATTCACATGCATTGTTAGTCACTACAAGCATCACACTGACCTGTGAGAGCTCCTCCCACCATTGCAATTGCAAGTGTACTTCCTAGGGCAGCAGTCTGGATGGAAGGAGTAAGCAGGTGTCCCTCCCTGAAAAAGACAGAAAACCAAACCTTTGCCTATCAAAAAATAGTTACACTTTGAGGCTGATGATCAGTCTTACAACATTGTGCTTGCTGCATGCTGGACAAGGTGATTCATAGGAATATATCCTAGGATCTTTATGGCTGGAAAAAGATCTTCAAGAGCATCGAGTCTAACAAATCCTGCCATTGTTGGGCAAGAAGGAACTCATGACTTTAATTTAGCTTTGTTTTAGGCTACAGATGAAAACATGCTCTATGAGAGGCTACTAATGTCCTGTAAGCCATTAGAGAATACTCTCTTTTGTCAAAAAGACCAGCATTTCATCTTTTTGGAGTCTTATGAGATAGTGAAAAAACCCCGTTTTTCCTTTTTTTTCTTTTTAAATTTTACAAATGCCAGCAGTGTAATTGTAGAGTCACAATAAAAATTGTTCTGTTTGAATGGTTCAGGGTGCTGTTTATTTATGACGTTTTAATTAATTTCTTTTTATTTGAGCTTTTAATCTGTAACAAGCTTGGCATTTTAACAGTTTGTTAAAGGCAGGAGATCAAGAAGACCCAAATTAAATGAGAATTACAATGCCTGACATCAATGATGCATTTCTGAAAAAAATTCATAATTAGATCCAAAAAAGGTAGCAAATTAGAATAGACCTCCAAAAATCTTCTTTCTCTCTTCTCCCTTTAACTCACCTCGTTTCCCTTTTTATTGCTGTTACGATGATGCCAGCAACACCCCCCAGAATTCCAGGTAAACCATGTAAGTTATGAACTCCACAAGTGTCTTGAATTTTCAGCTTGGATGCCATCACAGGCTGAAATGAGTGGAAATAGGAAGTTTATAGTGAGTTTATAGCTTTCCATGATCTCTGGATGGATATGCAAAAGAAAAAGCCGAAGTACAAGAATCAAATAATTATTAAAAGTCATCATTACCTGGAATTTACTGTATCTATCCTCCCTTTGTAGCAAACCAAGGGAGCTCCAGGAAAGCCAAAGAGAAATAAAAGATGGGAGCAGAGCTGGGTCCCCAATACTTACAGTCAGGAACTGGAATCCAAGGACAGAGACAATTCCAGCAATGACCCCGATGAACATGGCAGAAAAAGGGTGGATTGCCAGGTCAGCACAGGTACCCACTGCTACTCCTCCTGCCAGGGTGGCATTTTGAATGAGGACCTGCAGAGGGGACACAGAGCGAGGCAGGGGTGACACATGAGGAGCAGAGGCTTGTTTTAAGGATGAGTGTCTCTGAAGGCTCTCTTGCACATGCTGGGCTCAGACAAATAACTGCAGCTGCTGGAAAGGAGTGGGTGAAAACAGAGCTGGATTTTAGGGCCAGGGGAGAGAAGCTGGTTTGGTTTTGTCTGTTGTGCAGTTGCATTGAGATTTCCAGGGAATGGGTCATTTCCTTGATAGACCTATTTTGCTGCTGTAATAAGGTAACTCAAGTTCCTTGATAGACCTATTTTGCTGCTGTAATAAGGTAACTCAAGTAGGAACATCTTTGGAATGAGACCCAAAAGTCCACCTGAACAATGGACTAATGTCTCTAAGGTCCAGCAGGTTCTGTGGACAAGAGAGAATCATCACAGAATCATTAAGGCTGGAAGATTAATAAATCCAACCATCAAAGCAGTACAACCACCATGTCCCCAGTCTACTTCACTGCTTTCCAACCCTTTCTGTGAAGAAACTTCTCCTAATATCCCATCTACTGCCCTGATGCAACATGAGGCTGTTTTCTCTCATCCTGTCACTTGGTATTTGAAGAAGAGACTAAGCCCCACCTGGTTTCACCTTTCTTTTTCAGGGAGTTGGAGAAAGTGAGAGAATGAGTGAGCCTCATTTTCTCCAGACTGAGTCTCCCCCATCTCCCTCAGCTGCTTCTCATCAGACTTCATAGGTTTTACAAGTACAATAGCTCTAATTCTGGCTGCAGTATGGGGAAAGGCTCCAGATTGCCTGGACAGATAGATGGACACTGGGAATCTGCCTATTCATCCTTATCAGAGAGGGTTGACTCGATTTAACAAGGATTGTGATATGATTCTTACCATACTGAATTTGCCTCTTTTATCAACCAAGCTGGAGAGGGCGAATGTTACGATGGTGCAGGCAGCCAAGGAGTAGTAAGTGTTGATAATGGCTCTTGGCTGAGCTCCTTGGCCCTCTGCAATGGCAGAGTTAAAACTGGGCCAGAAAAGCCAAAGGAACAGGGTACCTGGATGAATAGAAGTCAAAACAAAGAAAAGCTATTTAGTCACAAGGGCCAATACAACAGAGTGAGCTATAAGAAATGAGGACAATGATTAATGAGAAGCATGGAATAGCTAAAATTCTTTCTGGAAGAAACAATAGAATATGCAGGAATTTTTCACACTGGCAGCTGGGATTTTGATGCATGGTCTCTTGTCAAATCTTACTGGAAGGCTTTAATGGCCCCTTGCCCTGCCCCACTCACTGTCAGAGCTCACCACCGTTGTGAAACCCCAGCCAGAACAGGAGGCATAGGCAACACAATTCACATGCAAATCCTTTATCATCTATCAATACAACTGAAAGTTTTAGCTGGTGAATTGGTCTATGAACAGTTCTCATGGACAGATATATGGTTTCTGACATTCAATAGCATATGACAGGCACAACTCAATCCTTTTAATTATGGACATTAGTTTTGGAAATACTGCTGAAAAGCACAAGACTTAACAGAAAGGAGGTCACCACTAATGTACTGTGAAAACACATATCTAATTTCATCTTTCCATCCTTGGAAGCAAGGAAAAACTCTAAAAGTATGTGTGCCACTGAAAATATGGTGCATGAATGAGACTAAAAGGAATTTGCCTCCAGAAGTGTACTTAGGAAAATGAATGTAGCATAATAATAGGTAATCAGGAAAAAATAGAGATGGAAGAGAGATGAACAGCTGGTCAGCTCTTGATATTGCTTGACTTACCAATCATTGCAAACAGGTCTGAGTGATAGGTGGATTCATCATTTTCATGTTTGTTTGTCAGACCAGGACGGTACAAGACGAAAGCTGCAGCCAAACCAAAATAAGCTCCAAAAGCATGGATAGTCATCGAAGCTCCAACATCTGTGGCCTGTAATAGGGACCCAAAATAATGCCACAGATTTTATTCAGCGTAAAGACAAGGGTCTGATGAACAAGAAGTCTGGAGGACTGGATGGTTTAATTCTGTGGTAGAACCAGAGCCTAGCATAAGCAAACTGGAAGTATCACCAAGTGAAAGCATTTGTTATGAAGAGAAAACAATGACAGCTAAATAGTTGTACCTTGAATACTTCGGTAACTAGGTGTTCATTGCATGCAAAGATAGTGATCTCCAGAAGAGTCAGGATCAGCATCTGAATGGGACTTGTTTTCCCCAGGAGAGCTCCAAATGAAATCAAAGCAGTTGCTGTACTGAAGTCTGCATTTATCATGCTGAAGAAAAGGAAAAATAACAACAAAAAAACCCCAAAACACATAAAAAAAAATAGTTTAAAAACTCTAATATCAAATATGCCATTAAAATGATATCATAAAAATTATAGAGCTTTAAGTCTTCAGATACAAAATTATCAAGCTCATCTTCATGGATAAAAATTAAATCAAACCTTTCCAGATGGATCTTGTAAGGATCTTACCAGCTAGTGAAGAAGGTTTCCTCCTGCTTATACCATACATGTCCTTAGCTGGTTGAAATTATGGTAAAAAGGCAGATGACAAGTGTATTGGGATATGCTGGGATGTCATGGAATCACAGAATAATTTAGATTGGGAAAGGTCTCTACCATTGAGTCCAACCTTTCACCCAGCACTGCCAAGTCCACCACTAAACCATGTCCGTCAGTACCACATCTGCAGGTTTTTTGAAACACTTCCAGGGATGGTGACTCTACAGCTTCCCTGGGCAGACTGTTCCAATGCTGAACACCCTTTCTGTTGAGAGATTTTTTCTGATGTCCAGCTAAATCTCCCTTGGTGTGATTGCCTCTTGCCCCTTCAAGCCATTTCTTCTTGTCCTGTCCTTGTTCCTTGGGAGCAGAACCCAACTCTTCTCCCCTCCTGTCAGGAGTTGTGCAGAGCCAGAAGGTCCCTCCTGAGCCTCCTTTTCTCCAGGATGAGACCCCCCCAGCTCCTCCCTCAGCTGCTCCTCATCAGAACTGTGCTCCAGACCCTTCCCCAGCTCCTTTGTCCTTCTCTGGTCGTGCTCCAGCCCCTCAATTTCCAGTCCCAACTACCAGCTAGGTTTCAAAGATGACAGTGAGGTCTTTGGTCAGGTGGTTTATATAACCCTGGGAGCCTTCCACATCTGTCTGTCTCTTTGCATCATCTTTGCATGAACTGTCAGGCAGGACCAGTGTTAATATGTTTTGGGGATTGGAAAAGGTAAATAAAAGCAGAAATTGATCAAAAACTTAGAGTAGAGAGGCACTAACCCGTGGGCCCCTCTAAAAATGCCTGCCTGTAAGCATTAAGGAGCTACTTGCATCATTCCTGCTTTCCCTCAGTAATGTTTGGATGCTGTTCACTTCTAAATTGTTTACAAATTGTCTCAGAAAACAGAACTGCAGATGTGGAAAACACTCTGAGACCTTGGAACTGCAGGGCAGGTGAATAGGAGGGGCATTAAACATGCTTTGAGATGTTGCCCATGAGGTCTCCTATTCTGTGATCGGTATTCAGACCCTGCTGGAGTACGATGCTCATGAAAATCATCCCTTGAGTAGTAAGAGAAAACCTCATGTGCATAGACATGCTGCTCCAGCCTTTCTTCTGTGACCCCTTGTGTCATGGAAAGACAGATCCTTCCATATCTGCTGGATGCAGGATGTGTGCTGTGCTACTGCTGGAAATCTTCCAGCTTCCACAGCTTCAGAGGTTCAGAGCAACCTCTTAACAGGACCCACACCTCCACACATAATGTAGCACCTCAGATTTCTTCACAATCTTTGGTTACCTTGGCCCAGTGCACCAGGAGTGGGAAGGTTGTGGAGAGGTGGACAGTAAAGCTTAATGAAATTTAGGACCCCTTAGATGTGGTTTATGGCTTCTCCTGATATCTTTAGGGATAGAAATACCAATTTTTATAAATTCACATATACCTTTTGATGTTAATAGGAATTTTCCCTTCTTTCATGTGCCAAAATCCTTGCATAAGAATTCCCCACTGGAGACCGAAGGCAGCAATGAGCATGTTGAAACCAACACTGCTGAATCCATATTTCTTCAGAAAGGTCATCAGGAAACCAAATCCCACAAATATCATCACATGGACATCTTGAAAGTCTGAAAGGGAAACATGTCTGTGTAGAGACTGTGAAGAGTGACTGTGAAGGGTGACTGTGAAGGGTGACAAGCCAGGGACAAAGGCAGCTTGAGTAGAGTTCCAAACTCCAGTCATGCATGTGATCCACTCTTCCCACTTCATGACCAGACTGCCTGCTGAAAACTGAATGTCTGAAAATGCCACCCCTGATTATTGATTATATTGATGCCTATATCATTATGGAAAGCCACTGGATCTCCATACTTGCAAATTTACTTGTGTCTGGCACTGTCCTCTCTTTGTGCAGCTACCTGGAACATCATCACAGCTTCATGTCCTTACAGAACATCTATGTTCCCCTTCCAATAAAGGTGGTCAGAGCCAGTGTGTTCTGACTAACTCCAAAATTGTATATGGGATTTCTCTGGGTGTCCCAGTGTAAAGGAATGCTTGGGATCCCTAAAAATTACTGTCCAAGACATTGATCTTTTTTGCATTGATAAAAGAAAAATTCATTTTAAGGCAAAGTTTAAATTTAACAATTGATATAGTTAATCTACAATACAATTAGTCCTCAGTAAAATATTTGTTTGGTTTTGAAATATGAATTTTCTTAAAATATGTATGGTTAGTTATTTTTCTACTTTTTAAAGTTATTACTTTAATTTTCATTTTTTGTGTTTTTGGTACAGAGTCATCACCACAACAGCGATACTTTTTATTTTAAATTTTTATTTTTTTTTTTTACTTTTAAGCTTTATGTGATTTAATTAACTCTAAACCAGACAGCTTTGAGTCCTGTAATTACAACTTTTTGTCTGATTTTACCGTTAATAAGAACCTCCAGTACAGAGAGATCGTTTTTAAAACTAAATTTCTTTGCTCTTGCATGCCAGTAAACGTGAAAAACTTGAGCTTGTTAGTGTAACATTTGTCTTGAAGTTGCAATTGCCATTACCTGAAGCATTCCTCAGTTTTGCATTACCAGGCTTAGCCAAAAGAGGGCCCAGAAGTATAAGAAGTTACTGGGGATTACTAAAAAACTCTTACATTTGCAGTGTCATATTCCAGCCCTGCTCTAGCACACAGTAATACAGTAATGCAGAAATATGCAGCAAGAGCCTTGACTTTGCATTTGAAAAACAGCATCGTTGGCTGGCTTGGGATTAGATGATAAACTTTAATGTCCCTTCCAACCCCGACTATTCTGTGATTCTATAGAAATGCAGGTGGCTCACAAACATCTCCAGCCCTTTTTCTTGCTTCTCAGGCTGGACATTTTAAAGCTGTCTGGACTTACACAAATGGTTTAAAGTCCTGGTTAAAACTTGGTTAATTCATGGGTGTTGAGGACAAATTCCTTCTAGTTTAGCATGTACCTTGAACTTTAACTATCTTTTATGCATGATTTTAAAGAAGAGTAGGTCTGGAGTGATTAATGATGAAGAAAACAGCATGGTTTGAATGGAACTGTTTTAGTAACTAGTTGTATTTGATAAAGTGTAGAGAGGAAAGTAAAGATTGGGACAAACACCCCAGCAGATCCTGAACAAAGCCACTACACAGATTTCTGCAAGGCTGGCCAAGACCAGCATATTAACTCCACTGCAAGGGTCAGTCTCAACACAAAGATGTTTGTGAATACTCTAAAGCTGATCTTGCTCAGCCTAAAGTTGTAAACCATAGAACCCTGAACAAGAGGAATGCATAAGTTTCCCTAGGCCATGAGTCATGGATACTCACAGGACAACGTAGGATGCCAAAAAATACAGGATTACGAAAGAAATCCTCTTGTAGTGCTCTAAGAGCCATCACACCCCCTTGTTCTCCCATTCCAGTGGCACCACACACCTGAAATTGTCCATCCAAATTGCCATGCCTGTACTTGTATCCACCAGAGACAGATGTAATGCAAAGCTACGCTTTGGGAATGATCTCAGCTTAGCCCTCCTTACCTGAGTGCAAAGCTATGCTGAACCTCCACTATTATTTTCATTTTTCTTTTGAAAAACCACTGAAACACCTTTCATTCATGGTGCTAAGGTGTCTAAGGCATTCAAAATCAGGCCTTGCACTGCAGTCCTGAGAGTATAAATTACCTCCTGGATGAAAGAACTAAATCTCAGCTACAGATGGGTTAACATCCTGAGGCATAGCATGGGAAGCAGTTTGAAGCCATCATTTTGGGGACTCAAGGGAAGTCCTGGCTCAAGATTTTTCCTATACAACCTATACAACCATAGCATTAAATTTCTGCCAAGTCTGCAGGCAAACTGCACTTTTGTTTGCACTTTGTATGGGTATAAATTTGAGAGTAAGGGGTCCTAAAAGTGAAAATATAAGTATTGCAAAAATCTGCTTTTATTCCCATTCTTTATTGGGAATGACCTCTGTGAGGTCAGCATTTGAAAATTGAACATGACATTGGTGGTGTTTGCTTGGTTTATGTTTCTACTGGTAATCTGAACAGCCTGGCCAAAAGAAATACATGTTCTTCTCTCCTAAAACACTTCTCCCACCTTAAAAATAGTCCTTTATCCAAGCTATGCCTAAAGCCATGCCTGGCAGGAGGTCAAGGGGCCAGTTCTCATTAGCTTAAGCCATTTCAGAGGGCTGCTCACAGGTCAATAGTGAGGACAGCCGAGGGACAAGTGTGCAGGAATAACACAGTCATACACTGCCTGTGCAGGGAGGCATGGAAGACTGCAGGAAATTCCTCCCACACTTTTTAGACACTGATATTAATGAAGAAATCAGCATAGGTGATCTCTGACTGGGTAGGTTACATTTAAAGACCTATATTGTAGTGTTAGTACAATTACCTGTGCTGTCAAATTATTCATGTGAGTTTTGGCATAACTTTTGCCTAGGCCAACAATCACCTCCTGGGTGGCAGTGAATCGAGAGTAATTCCCAATACACTGTCTAGATACAGCTACCTAATTTAGGGACTTGGATGGTTCAATGCATTTGGGATAGTTTAATGTAACACCAGCTAAGAGAGCTGCATTTGTTCAGCTTGGAGAAGACAAGGCTCTGGGGAAACCTTAAAGCACCTTCTAGTACTTAAAGGGTCTTATTAAAAAGTGGGAGAGTGACTTCTTAAGTTGGAAGATAGTGACAGGACAAAAAGCATCAGTTTAAATTAAAAGAGGAGAGATTTATATTGGGTATTATGAAGAAATTCTTCCCTGTGAGGGTGGTGAGGCCCTGGCACAGGGTGCCCAGAGAAGTTGTGGCTGCCCCATCCCTGGGAGTGTCCAAGGCTGGGCTGGACAGGGCTTGGAGCAGCCTGGGATAGTGGAAGGTTTCCCTGCCCATGGCAGGGGGTTGGGGTGAGATGATCTTTCAGGTCCCTTCCAACCCAAAGTTTCCTTTGGCTCTATGAATGTCATTGACACGGCCAAACTGTGCCACAGAGTGGACTCTGGCACAGCCCAGGTTACCGTATCTCAGGGATTCTGCCACATCTCAGTGGAGCTAACCTAAATGGAAGTAATTAGCCCCTGATGTCCATCAGCTGACTTTCATCTGAAGCTGAATAATGCCTTCACTCGCTGTTCTCTGACCCAGACAATGCTCTCTGTGAGAATACACAACACAAAGCTACTCCAGCCTGAGATCACATGCCCCTGTAACATCCACTGAGAGGACAGAATGAGAGAAAAGAGGGATGCTTTCAAAATGACACAGGTGCTACCTGCAGGCAGGGAATTCTGTGCTCTATGATCCTTATCAAGCCCTTTGCAATCAAGGATTCATTGAGGCCTCAGAGCCAGAAAACAGAACAACAAACCTTCAATTCTGCCAGGAAAACACAGTTGGTAGCTCTGCAAACTTTGTTTTCTATTTATTCACAATAGTCTTATCTTTGCATAAGATAAGGAGGGGGTGAGAGAAGTAACTACTTCTGAGGCCAAGAGCTTTTTCTGGTCTTCACCAAGTATTTGCAGAGAAACAAATCAACAGAAACATTTTCAGGCTAAACCATTGCTGCCTGATGGAGTCACTACTTTGGAAGATAGCAGGGGTTTATCTACCTTGTCAGCAAAACTGTGGCCCTTTTTGGAGTCCAGCTTTCACAAACATTTTATAACAATGATGCATATGCAGCTCAATTTCCATGTTTTCATAAGACACCTTTTCCAAACCTGGATGGTAGTAATGAAATGTTCTATTCATTTAAATTATTTAATACAGTAATCAGGATAGAAGGTCTGGCAGGAAACACCCCCATCTCTCTCTGGAAAATGCTGGACTCTTTCAAAGTAATACACAGTTCTCCAAGTCTTAACCTGATGTGTAAACACTAGAACTATTTCCCAGGCTCTTCTCTCCCAGAACAGTAAACTTCTTAGCAGTGAGGTACTTGCAGAATTTTATATGTGCTCAATTTGGATTTGTCTTTGAAGCCTGCTGCTTTCACACCTCAGAAAAATGTGTTTGCCCTAAAACACAACTTTCTTTTCCAGCTTAATCAGTAGGTCTAGTAAGTTATTCAGAAATCTTGCTTACGATCAGTTTAAAGAAATTTCAGCTTGTATAAATCTTAGGCAGAAATACTTACGTGGGTATAACTCCATAGCAGAAAAATTTTTGTCATATTCCACAAATATCCCATACAAAACAATGACAATGACTTCCAGAAGAAGCGCCAGGATGGAGAACTTGAACTTCATGTTGGTGTCAAAGTCTGGAGGCATTGCTGGAGAGCAGCTGGCTGTGATTTCCATTTCCCAGGGTACTTCTGTGTGTGAAATGCTGGCTTGCATGTGGGTTTGTTTTTTTTTTCCTTCCAGTTTGTAATACAAACCAGCTCGTTCAGCCACAGCTGTACTTCTCACTGACTATGTCTTTTAGAAAGGAAATAGTCTTCAAGGAAATCTCACAGAGCCTGGCTTACTGCATGAAGAAAGGAACAGTAACTCTCAATTGTGTTTCCTGTAGTCAATAATATTTACTTACAAGTTGTTGCTCTTCTTCCAAAATTTAAATAATTTTGCATTGCAAATAAAACATGGAAAATTACCTCTCTTCCTATAGGCTGTGATAAGCAAAGAGAATCTCTTTCAACAACTTGAAGTTTTTGTTTCTTTTTTTTAATTTCACAGTGAAGTACTCTTTCTCAGAGCACAAATTCTCATTGTAAAATTTTATTTAAAAAGGAAATTATTGTAGTTCTTTATATGTAAAAATGATATTCATAGTTGTTAAAGAGGAAAGCTGTAATTACTAAAAAGAGGAATTTGAAGAGAATATCTCCATTTTTCATTTTGAATGATTGGTTTTTTTTAATATTCCTCTTAGCTCAGACAATGGAAATAGGTCAGTGAGAAAATCTGTTATATGTTTTAAAAAGCTTAGTTTGCAAACCTCACAAATGGAGGAGTAACTTAAATTTCACTTAGTTTACTGTTCAGTGATCTCTTGCTCTTGAAAGTCACATTCATTGTCAAAATTTGTCTTGAGTCCTCAAAGTTTTGTTGATAAAGTATTGCATCAATGTGAACAAATTCATCTTTGTTAATCCAGTAGTCAGAAAACAGGGCAAAATGGTACATCAGGAGCTTCTTTTTAATGAAAAATTGTATCTATTGAAAAGAAGGATGATATTGTAGTAGTTGACTAATTGGTCATGAAGAAGTAGTGCCAGGGTATGGCAATAAAATGCTGTGTCAGTCCTTGGGTACAAAAACCATCTTAATACAGAGATGCTGGGAGATGTTGCTAAATTGGGCTGCTGTCCTGGTGAGATACTGCTGGAAAACTTCTCACATGCTGTGACATTTAATTTTTCATTTTTCAAATTTCATTTTTCATTCTGGTGTACAGGGCAGTGCCATGACTTATTCTCTGTTCCTAAGTCCAGTTACCAATTCTCTAATATAAAGGTAGAGTTAGACCATTATTCAAACTAAGTTTGAAATTATCACAGCTTTTTCTCCCTAAAAATGAGTCTGTGTACTTGGAAGGGAAACCAGAGTATTTAGCAAGAAAATGCTTGTCTCTCACATAATCAAGCCTGCAAATGGCAAAGCTAAAATAAGCACATATATGTGTTTTTTTTTCCTTCATAACATCTGTATTTCATTTGAGCAGCTGAAAGAGAGGAAACAGAGCTTTGATAAAAAGCTATCAGTCATCCTTACTGCAGCACAGGATAGGACACACAGCCAGGTTTGATTGTGAGGACCTGTGAGCTCCTACATTTGCTCAGGAGGTGATTAAAAAAGGACAAACTCATGAACAAAGTTCATTGTTTTTTGTTTTTTTTTACTCATAGCTCAGCCATGAATGTCCTGTGTATTCATTGCATAAAGTTTTTCCTAGTGAAGGTCTCACATGACATATGTGCAATCCTTATGATCTTTCAGGGCTGCAGAAAAGTTTCCTCGCTGAAATCTTACCAGGAAAAAAGCCTTTTAATAGTGTTTTGAATTTAAAATGGGTCAAATCCATTCAATCAGGAGTTTTTCTGAGGTTATTGTTTTATGTCTTAAATCTCATACAGGTACATGCACACACAGAGACACACAATCTGTATTGGAAGAGTATTCATCCATGTCTTTTTCCTTTTCCCTTGGCCAAGAAGAATAACTTAGCTCTTTTCCAGTGAGGTGAACTAGTGCCCAGCAGCCAGAGAAAGGCTCCTAGACATGTACAGGTTATTTACACACAAACAGGGATACTGAAGAAATTATTTTCCTATATTTATGCACTCTAATATTTGTTCTTCTAAATAAATGGAACATTTCTCTCTCACCACTAACAAGCTTGCCCATTGAGATGGGCTTTGGCGTGTGTCATATTTGGAAATGGGCATTGCTTCAGGAAATGACAGGTGCTTTGGATATTCTCGAGCCTCTCCAAGGGAAGAATTGAGAATATTGAGTACATAAATACCTCGTCATACCATCTGTGGAGAGTACGGGACCTCTGTCCTGTTAAATCATGAAAACGTGATTTCAGCCCTACATCACAGTGGAAACTTTGAACATAGGAGGTCCTAAATTTGTGTCTGATGTATTTCCCAGCAGAAGTAACTTCCATGTCAGTGGCTGTCTGTCATTCCCATTTTTTTCCTGATTGCTTTGTTTCTGACACAGGCTTTCCAGGTGATGGGGAACAGCCACCTCCAACATCTCCTTTCAAATGCCTTTATGTGTCCATCCAGCTGCTGCACAGGGCAATCGAAATGAACACATCCTGAACTGTTCCTCTTTAGGAAATTTTTGTGTCTCCTTATTTGCTTTATCCTAATCCTGATGGCTATTAAAGCAAAGGAAGGAGTGAGGGTGTTCTTTGACAAATATTGTTACATACCTGGATCTATTAAGTAACTTTACATATTTGTCATTTAAATAGCTGTTGGTTTGTTGTTTTTTTTTTATCCAGCTTTCCATCTAAATAGGATGTTGGTGGACAAATCACAAGCTTGATTTAAATAAATGTGAACAGCTATGGCAGAGTTTCAAGCTTCTGGAAGGATAAAAATCAGAAATAAAGGGTTTGTTTGGGCAGTATCTTACCTAAAGAATGAGAAAAAAGTGAATTTAATAATCTTGTTACAGAATTCCCTCAAGCATCATTAGGAGTGGCATTCAACTGACCAGACACTCTCTGTGCATTTCTGTACCTGATGTAACCTGCAATGTTTTCCTTTTAAATCACAGACTCATGGAATCATTAAGGTTGGAAAAGACCTCTAAGATCATGAAGTCCAGCCTTAACCCAGCACTGCCAGGTTTACCACTAGACCAGCACCACCAGCTACACTCCCTCAGCACCATATCTACATGCTTTTTCTATTTATTTTCTAGAAGAATTAGAAACTTCCAAGAGCAATTGTTTTCAGGTTAAAGGAAGTTACCTAAATACCTGGCTAAATAGGCCAGGAGAATGGAAGTGCCCTTTTTGGTAATGTTTGTTGGCTGACACAAGTTCAGATCAGATTCAGGATGTCTCCTAGAAGAAGCTGATGTTATTTAAGACTCTGAGCTCAGCTCACTGAAGCCTGGGCTACAAGGATTCCTCAGTCAATGTGGATTTACAGAGCATGTCTTGGGTGCACACTAATCTTCAGTTTTCTTCTTGGTGTGTGTCTTGCAGACACAGCTATGGAGAGCAGGGAGGTGGAATAAGGTGCATCTTGCCTCCACACTGGGACAGAAATATTTCTTTGACCTCCTGAACTTGGAGCTAAGTTTTTTTGAGAACATTGACATTTATCCCATTTCTGTGGTGCTGCGGTAGAAATATTTTTTTCATTAAACATTAACTTCAATTCTTCAAGTCAGCAGACCCTATCTCTCCTCAAGTTGAAAGCTCAACCAAGAAAATGCAGTTTTTTGATGCAGTCCTAAAATAGCCTCCTTCACCTTAAAGAGGGAAGCAACATTCTGTGGATTTTCTGACTTTAGAGAGCAGCAATAAGATCACAGCACAGGTCAGGCTGGAAGGAGCCAGAGTGGCTCATCTGGTCCCTCCTCCCTGCTCCAGCAGGGTCATCCCAGAGCACAGGACACAATATCTGGAATATCTCCAGTGAGGACACTCCACACCCTCTCTGCTCTCTGTTCAGTGCTTGGTCACTGCACAGGGAAGAAGTTCTGCCTCCTGTTCAGGTGGAGCTTCCTGTGCATTGGTTTCTGCCCATTCCTTTGTCTTGATGGGATCCCAATCACCCCCACCAGCCTCTTAGCTGATTTCTTGTGCATGTGGGTTGATAATGCAGTGTTTCTTTCTAAAATAAATATGTTTTATTTTCCCATTTGAAATCTTGCAGACTTTGTTCTCTAAGACCTTACTTGATTACTAGACAGTATTTTTAATTTTTCCAGTACACAAAGAACATCAATAAAAGGTAACACAAGAAGGAATTAGCCTTTTTCTTTCCTCTGAATAGAATAGGCAAAATAATTAGGCTATGTTCAGCTAAAGCATGACTTGTTGAAGAGGAGCATGTTTCACTTAAAAACTTCACTCTTTCATGTCTGCTTTTATTGCATGAGTGTTACAAAAGCAGGGCTTAAATGCTGAAACAGAAACTTTTGGTGGAGGTGTATCCCAGAGTTGCAGGAAAGCTGTTTTCTAGAGATAACAGGGTTCTGCTCCCTTCTACAAGGGCCAGTGGGCCTGTCTGAACTGCTCTTGTGATAAAAAGGAACCTCAGCTAAGATGGATGCTTTGCATAACATCTAGAAGCTCTACCTATTATTTTGAGAAAGCAATAAGAAATACTAGCAATTAGATGTCTGTGTTTTAGTTTAGATGGTATGAGTGATGAATCATATATTGTTATTGACTTTTCTTATGTTAAAGTGATTCTCTTGCTCCCCATCAGTCCCCTGTGCTTGTAACAGGGCACTTGGTGTGGCTGTTCCTGCCTGTGTGAAATCCCCTACAGAGTCTGTTTCAAAAGGCAAGGAGGAGTTAAGCTTCTGAAAAAGCACAAGGAGATGACTTCAGACACGGCAGTGAATCATCTCAGTTGTCTTCCCTTACAGAGGACTGGCTGCTTCTAGGTTTCAAAATCCACTCTACAGCTGGGAGTACGCCTGGATTTGTGTTCACTCTATGTGTCATGCCAAAGAGCACTCGGAAAAGACACTTGTAAAGGAAGTTGAAGAGAATTGCATTGAGTCTTGGATATTAGGAAGAAATTCTTCCCTGTGAGGGTGGGGAGGCCCTGGCACAGGGTGCCCAGAGAAGCTGTGGCTG